ATGTAAAATTGATCGTCGTGCAGCATTCTACTGAAAGATCTCATCCCATATTCATTCAATGGAGTGTTGTGTGAGGGCACTTGGAAGGACTCTATGTTGTAACCGGAAATATATGTAGCTTGTTGTTCTGGCCGAGTACTTTGTTGGGTACATATAGGCACCATTTCTACATATATCTCAGTGTGAACACCCTTCATTGCAACAACGCTCCTCAAAGCTTTCAAATGTTTATTCAATTCGTAGAAACAGGTAACACTTGAACCCCATTGCCAGTTTCAAACCTCATTTTAATGTTTAGTTCAACATTCCTTGGGTTTGAACCAATACTACTATGAACCTCGTTCATCAAAATCATTGAAAGTCATGTTCGGTTCAAGTGTTAGTGGTTCCATATTTCCTCCACTATACTCGACACGAGGTCCATTGAACAGAATTTCACCTCCCCACCGACATAACAACACAACATTTTGTGAAACCATATTCTACATTACAACCAAAACACATACTTAAAGGCACTAAATCATCCCTAAATCGCCATAATTAAACAACAATGTACATACTTTTCAAATTACAACAACTTAGAAGTACTAAATCAACATTAATAAACAACAATGTGGGTTATCACAATCACTCAAAAACTAACAATTATCAACCATTATCAACATTATCAACAATTATCTACACTAACAATTCAACATTATCAACAATTATCTACACTAACAATTCAACATTACTAACAATTATCATCACTAACAATTCAACATTAGCAACACTAACAATTCAACATTATCAACACTAACAATTCAACATTATCAAGATTTTAACCACAATTCCAAAAAAATAAAAACCAATAAAAAAAACCCTAGATTTTAAAAACCAAAGAGAGAGAGGGCAAGTACCAAAATCGGGGTGATGTGAGGCTAGGTCGTCGGGGATGTCGGCAGGCCGTCGTCAGAGGGAGACGACGGTGGGGGTGGCGGCCTGAAGGACACGTTCTTGCTTTGAGTTAGAGAGAGATTGAGTGAGGGAATAGAATTGAGGGTAATTGACATAGAGCAGAACCTCACATGTTATACCCGCATGAAACGCTGACTGAGGCAGCGTTTCATTTAAAAAAAAAAACACTATAAACGTTGTCTCAGTCAGTGTTTTATGTGTATTTTGAATTTTTTTTTTTTTAATTTTTAAAAAATCAGAAATTACAAAATTTTATAATAAAAAAAAAAGTCAACAAGTAAAAACGCTGTCCGAGACAGCGTTTTATACTTTAATTTTTTTTTTTTTAAAAAAAAAACCAGGGTATAAAACGCGCTGTCCGAGACAGCGTTTTACCCCAAAAGCTTAATTTGGTAAATAGTTTGACGACGAGTTCACTTTGCAAAAATACTTTGGTAATAAAGCTTAGTTTGGAAAAAAAATCCTCGTTATAGAGCACTTGGGCCTCCTAATAAGATTAGTTGGTTAAAGGTTTGAGCGTAATTTTTCGATTCTATTGTGAAAGAAAGTTAGGGACAACTAAAATAATTAGTTCATACGTTTATTAAACTTCCCTAATTATCTTGATCATGTAATGTAATTTTCTACATTAACATGTTTAATGCCAAAAGAATCCTTTTCTAATGTAGTAGATGAAAGCCCGTGCGATGCACGGTTTTTTCATGCATAAATTTAGGATAATTTATACTTAATAAATAAATTATAAATAAATAATAAGCCTAAATCATTATTCGTTGTTTTTTTCAAAAAAAAGAAAATTCTTTATTCGTCGTTTTTTTACCTTTTAAATTAAATTCTCAAATTAAATTCGTTAATTTTGCTCATGTGGCGATTGAATTTTTTTACGATTGAAAAGGATTGTTTTCTTAATTATATCACATAATATTTGATAACTTGCTATTGTGGGTTAAAAAGATAATTATTATTTTTATATAATTTAAAATGCAACCAAATATGATAATTTTTAGTCTTTATACTAAAAATCTCAAAATTTATGATCGTGCTGGATTAAATTTTTTATATGAAAAGGATAATTTTTTTATTATTTAAATAATATAAATCCTAAATTATATATATTTTTTAATTCTAAAATATGTGAATTTTATTTTATTAGCTGACTCATTCATTAATTCTTATGTGACTATTTTTTCATTGTGTATAATATCTGTTTCGTCAAATATTTGGATAACTTTTTTAAGGTTATTTTATTTAAATAATTTAAATCCTGTTTTTTTTTTAACTTAAGTGGCACATTAAATTAAAATAAAATCATCTCAAATCTTAGTCATTAATTTTCCTTATGTGGTGATTAATTTTTTTAATTCTAAAATAAAATGTGAATCTCTTATTTTGTTGGTTGATAACTTGATATAAAATTCCTAATCTAGTCTATAAAGATTTTTTGTAATTAAATTATTTGTTTCTACATTATAATTATCGAATATCTGGATAAAGTCTGTAATATCAAAAGATAAGTTTCTTTTTTTTTAATTATTTAAATTCTAAATCACTATTCTTCATTTTTTTTAATTACGTGGTAGTGGAATATAAATTCTTAAATCTCATATATACCAAATTAAGATTGTGCGATGCACGAGTCTCTATTAATAATTTTAATTTAACATTTTATATCCAATCGTAATAACAAATATATGCAATTAAAATTAACACATATCTAAACACTACATATTTTGTAAAATTTTCGTTTAAACAACAAAACAAACTAATTCTTGAAGAAAAAATAGAAAGAAAACAAACTATGTGAAGCTAACTTTTTTCAAATGGTATACACGATGAAAATAATGAATGCCCTTCCACAATCCTTTGTAAATCAATTGCAAATTGTGTTAGTTGACGAGTTTCATACTTAATCCCACCCCGTGCAAAATTAACATTTATGACTGACTACTATGTTCATCGCATTCAACAACTTCAAAACTTATAAAATATAGTTTCTTTGCCTACAAAATCTATACGTATATTTGTGTGAGACATTAAATGGGTTTATATAAGATTTAAAAAATGCTGAATTTAAAGTTGTGATAAAATTTTATCACTAGATATGATAAACTTTAATATGATAATTTTGTTAATGTAGTATTTAATTTCTTAATGGGATAAATGATAAATGATGGGTGGACAACTTTTTTATTTTTTTTCCATTATTCGTTATTTTTACCTACGTAGAAAAATTCTTAAATCTCATTCGTTAGGTGGCAAGTGAATTTTTTAAATCTAAAATAAAATACAAATGTACTTTTCAATTGGTCAAAATAATACCTTTGCTTATGTGGCGCGCCGAATGCTCTCGAAAAATGCCTACTTTATTTATATACTAGTTTTGTGCCCAGGCGATGCCCAGAAGGTTGATAAAATTTTTAGATAATATTTTTACTTGAATGTTAAATATGGTCAAATAATTCGTTCTAATATATAATGTAGAATATTTAGATTTACCATATCATATGGAGTGTACTTTTTGTGCCCGAGCAATGCCCAGGTTGATAAAATTTTAAGATAACATTTTTACTTGAATATAATGTTAAATAGGGTCAAATAATTCGTTCAGATAATGTAGGATATTTAGACATACGATATCATATGGCCTATATTTATATAATAGTGTACTTTTTGTAGTTTTGTTTGTAAATAGATATCTATGTTATTATTAACTTGAAATTATATTTATTGAACTTAAATTAATTTAACTGAATTGAAAGTATTTTCACCAAAATATAATTATTTTTTACTAATTAAAATTTATTTTTACTGATTCTCTAATGTTTTCTTAATTAAGTTAAATAACAATGCATTCTGTATGCGGCTAGCCACACCATATGGCCAGACAAAGTAATACCTATAAAACTGACCGAGTAACCCCTGTAATACTAACTGAGTAACCTCTAACACTGACTAAGTAACCCCTATCTATAACTGATTGAGTAATCACTATAACACTGACCAAATAACCCCTGTAGCACTAACGAAATAACTCTTGTAATAGTTGGTGACACAGTTTGACCAGCTATATATAAAAGTTTGTGATTAAATATATTATAAATGGATCTTATTTTAAAGAACTTTTTAAAACGAATTTGATGATGGAAATAGAACATATTTATAGGATATTTATTAAAAGTTATGATTAATTTTGTATATATGAAATATTAGAATTCTTTCGATAATAAAACTCTATAAAACAATTTTATCTTAAAAAATCAATCCAAAAATTAGTATTATATGTGTCACAATAATACCTATTTTTCGCCTACGTGGCGCGACACTTGGCGAAAAACCGAAATGACAAGTGTCGTTATCTCGTGGCCTGGTTGCGAGACCGGCTTTATATATTAGTGATATGATATTAGATTTGGTGATCAACAATGTAAGAAACATTAATTTTGGTACATGGTATCAATAGTGTGCTTAATATATCTAAGTTATGTGATAAACTAGGGTTTGTGTTGCAGCATCAAGCATTGTCACAAATCTTCCTCGTTTTGATTGTGTATGTCTGTTAGTTTTCATTTTTTACCCTTATTATCATTAATTGTATGTAGAAGTTTCTATTTTGCGATGAAATAATACTTGTATAAAGTAGGGTGTTTTGTGTCGTATTATGCGTGGTCTTTACAAGATTAAGACTTAAGAGTCTAGAACACTTAAACCTTTAAACAACCTATGTATATTACATGTAAAGAAATAAAGTTTTTTTTTTCTTCAGAAAACTAAAGACCTTTCAATGTTAGTTTTGGGTTAAGGGTGGCCAAATTCCATAAGCCAATTAATTATGGTTTCTAAAGAATTCTTGAAAATTCTAGCATGTTAATAAATCAGGAAAAAATTGGGTGCTTAATATATATATACATAAAAAAATTTATTAACTAGTTTACCTGGAATCGAAACCTCCAGATCCAGCTCCTATTCCAATTAGAATTATTACTCGCCGATCAACTTGCAGCGATAAATGTCAAGTTAGGGCAGTCTCTTCTCAAGAAAAAAGAGGTAATGTAAAATTGTTTGTCATTACACTTTCTTACTCCTTGAATCTTTTTTCAGGACATGCCTCAATTCTACTATAGTTTTACAATGAAATATTACAAGAGAGTATATTTTGAAATTTTGACATATACAATAAATATACTATCCAGGTCTGTACACAAGAGGAGAGAAAATTACAAGAGGGAAGTTGGCGAACGTTAGACTATCCAGAGAAGCCAACTGAAAAGCAGTTGTATTCTTCACCCTGCCTATAGTGAACCCAACAATGATTTACATGTATCTGTTCATATCTGGACTATAATGACATAGTACAGATATGGTAAATGGTTAACCCAGAAAAAATACGAAGGCTTGACCATTCATCCAAGAGTGCCCTATATAAGTAATTGATGCATTCCCAATCGATGGCAATGTAAGAGGCTAAAAACAACAGCTCTCAAACTGGCCAGCTACAAGCCTCCACAGAAAGAGCGATATAGAGATGGAGAACTGAGAGATTATATGTTACTATTAACATCAAACAGTGTATATTCTTCTAACTTTTTTCATCTTGCGTCGACAAATAGGGCAAGTACCGGCAATTTCAGCGATTCTGAGAAAATGGACAAAGCATAGAGTAAAATTCTATTTCTGAATGAAAATCAATCAGATAGCACATATCCAATAAATATACCCTAGCAAAAGATGAAAATGCAATGAGATCGTAGTAATGAGTATTGCTCTTACTGTGAGCCCCCCCCCCCCCCCCCCCCCTTTCTCACAAAAATCTTGCATTCACAAAGTAAACCTACTGTAATGCGGTATTGGTGAAGCTCAAATTAGCCATTCTACCCTTTTATTGACTCTAGAGACGTAAATATAGAACGTACTAAGTACAACTTATATAATTATCATCCAAGTTATAATTTTCTTTATTATATCTGTGTCTTCATAAGCTGCTCAGCTTCCATTATCTGACCGCTTACTAGCTTAATAACATAAACACAGATATATGGCAAACAGGCTCCTAGATTTGCTAAGTCTCCAATTAGCTCATTGCTTACAACTGGGATCACAGAACAATATTAAGAAATGGTCCAGCTTCCCAGCCCACTCAGTCTCTTGATAGCCCTTCACCTTATCCAATAAGCACAAAAAATGTAGTAAAGCAAACAGGAAAACATAGAAAAACGAGCATATACCTTATCCCACAAGTAAAACAAGTGGCACAGTGGCCACAAGGAATGAAAAAGCAATCTTTAGGTGCATCAAAACAAATAACACACAGTCGCCTACATCCTTCTTCCAAGTCCTCTTGGGCTTCCTCATCATTTTGTGAACCAGAATCATATGAAGAACCCAAGCTAGAGATTTCATCATCTTTCTGAGACAACAAGGGAGCTCTCTCCGATCCCAAGTCTCCTAATTGGTTTTCGGTAGATTCTTCCATGTTACGTCTGATCCTATTCAAGAAGTTGAATGCCCATAACATGATCGAAGTCATCCCACCTACATTTACAAGCACCAGAATTTATAATTTACTCCAGCAATACTAATTTACAACGTTTCTTTCTTTTGGTTTATGAACAATAATCCTCAACTAAAGGATATCCAAAAGCTATAATTTTCTAAACTCCAAATTTTCAATTATTATATATAAAAGAAAAGGCCATTCCTTTCTTTTGGTTTATGAACAATGATCCTAAATTAAAGGATACACAAAAGCTATAATTTTCTAAACTTCACACTTTCAATCATCATTTAAGAAAGAAAAGGCCAATAGAACAAATAGTCAAATTTATCTTTTATTACACAATTTAGGGTCAACATATTCTTATACCACATAGCAATCTCTATTATGACAACTGAAGAAAAAGATGAATTCTACCTATACCAAGAAAATAAGTCATCCAGCGCGGTTCATAAGATAGTTTGACATACTCTCTGTTGTTTTCAACACCCTGCAAGCATACCCATATGAACAGAAAATATAAATTGAATAGCTTATAGATCACCATTCCATGAAAAATCATACATCAACACGACAATCCAAAAATGCATGATGTGAATACAGCTTGGTTAATTCAAGGCCTATAAAGAAAGAAGCGAACTAGCCAAAGCCAGAGTATCTAGAGGTATTTTTCTAGAGTCGGGTTCATGGAGCATATTTTATTCCTGCCAAAACCAATTAATTCTAAGTTGGAGTAATGTAAAGTTGAGACAAAACTAAGAACCTCGAGGGTTTAGGCCGAGTAAAATTGAATACATGTGCATATTAGTATTGGGAAGATGTTTCTTACTGTAGTTACTATAGTTATTGATATTACTAATGTTCCCATCAACTTTCTGTTAGACTGTTGCTATTTCCACAATTGACATGATTTACTTGCCTGTTAAATATTCTCAGCAGTTGTCATTGCACTCCTTAAATCGGCCGTCTAAACAATGAGTGACATAAGCATGAACACCTATTAATTATAGAAGGATAATAGAGAGGAAAGCTACTCAAAGACAGTGTCCCTCACTTGCATAGACATAAGTACAACTAACAAAATAAACCCTCACCTCTAATGGTCCTGGAGTAGTCAACAAAGCAGCATTTCCACCTGGGAAAGGAATCTTTAAATTGCACCAACCTTGAGTCAAATTGCACTTGTAGTACGAAAATGCAGTGTTATGCATGGAAGATAGTATTGTGAGATTCAGTTCGACCTGTTTAAAAGAAGTGACAGCACAGCAATTCCAAATGTCAACATTACTCTAAAAGAGACGCAAAGAGGAAATCGCCACATCCAGTGGATGCAGAACATTAAAACCAAAGCCAAGATAGATTGTTTACTAGTATGTATGTGCCAAGAAATAGCAGTAATCCTTTCAATTAGCAAGGACAAGATGCGAAACATATTCTGACATTTTGACTTCCGGCATTCCATAGTAAAATATGTATCTGGCGTATTGACTTCTAGTTGAGCATAGTACTGTATCAAGACTACCTAAATTTTCTAATAATGTTGAAATTACTCCAAAGTCCTACAAATTTTCACTCTCACAGTGTCACAATTACCAATGTGGGCCATTGGATTAGGAGAGATCTAACGATTGAGAGTGGATGTGCATCAATTTGGAATACTATTGGCATTTAAAATCCCCCTCATACAAAAGGTGCACAAAATAAGTTTTTAACCTATTCTTCATACTTAAGCAAAAGGATTATTAGTATGTGAACATTTGACCCTCATTGATTGTTAGGAAATTTCATGACACAGGAATTTGGTTAGTGATTTTAAATATCTAAGGGCTTTTTCGTTATTGTTTGTGCTTCCAATTTCACAAATATATGGAAACCGGAAAAGTAGTTTCCACTTTTTCATTGTCGGTTTTCAAAATTAACATGATTAGTATAAGTATGACTAAGTTTAAGTACACAGCCTATATCACATGAATTGTAATTTCTAAATACCAATAACTAGAAACTAAAAATGAAGTCAACGATACCGAATGAGCCCTATGCTTAGGCCTTTAGGTATGAATATGGAGACAAATTAGGTCAGTGATTAAACTTTTCAAACAATGACTGCATTCTCTCCTTTGAGAAAGTAACCAGCTTTTTGTCACATAAAAAAGTGAAGCTTCAGTATAGTACACTGGCTTTCTCAACAGGCACGGCAGAATGACATTGCTAAGGCTGTCAAAGCAAATCTCTTAGTATTCAATGGTTACACTCTGTTAATGACTTACAAATCATGGCATTCAAGAGCAATGTACACTATCATATATTTAAGCCTTATTTAGATGAAAGTATAGAAAATTCTACTGCAGCAAGACAACAAAATCCATGTCTAACAACAGAGAAAAGGCCATGTTCCCTTAGAGTAGATTAATAGGGAAAAAAAATAAAATACCTCCACATCCTCAGAGTTAAGATTTCCAACAGCAACATAATAGCCGTAAGATCTTAATATATCCTGCGTGATAGAACCACTTCCTGAAATAAAAGAGCTGGTCAACATAAGACTAGCTTCAACATGCAAGTCAAGGTTAAATCATACAGATTTGTAAGTGCATGTGGAGTATTAAACGGATAGAAGCAAAACCAAATCTTACCACGTATGACATTCCATGACAAAGTGCCATCTGAATATGAAGGATCCTCCAACCACTCAGCAAGTCCTTCAATCCCTGACACATAAGAGATCTATAATTGAATCTTTTATGCCTTCTCTACCCAAACACATTTTCTCTTTCCCTATATTAAGGTGTGATGCCCTGATATTTATCCTAACTAAATAGTATTTCCCTTCGAGGACCTTCTAACCCACCCCCACTCCCGCCAATACCTCTCCTAAACTTTTTTTTCCCCCTTATTTCCCCTCAGAGTAACCCAAACTAAAAAATGAGAAAGTGAACTGCAAAGATAACAATGGGTATGTTTAATGCAGAAAATTTCTTCTAGCAAAATCCAGATGAAAAATTAACCTCAGAAAATATAAACATACCTTTTGCTACTATGAGCAACAAAGAAGATGAGCTTTCTACATTGTACGATATATTGATCTGAGACCCCTTATTCAAGTAATATATCCATTCCTAGAGAGTTCAATGAAAGAAAACGAAGCAAATTATAAAGTCAATCCAATACTCAAAAGTAGCAGACATACAGCCAAAACATAAAAGAATGATGAGTGGGAGCTCAAATAATGGTCGTATCAAAAAGTTGAAGAATGGACTAAATCACAGGGGGGAAATAAACAGGGGCCATGCCTTGTGAGACTCTGGTTTAATAGAAGCATTCACAGATTCAGACCAGATCTTAGTGATCTCTAGTGGAGGATTTTCATAGAACCCATAAAGCACAGGAGCAACCTTCATATGCTTTGATGTTTCCACCTAATAATAATACACAAACATAAAAATCATAAGGAAAAAAAAGTAGCTTCATTTCTGCAGAGCATGCACTTGAGCAGAATTCAGAAGTCATTCCAAGGGAGACAAAAAGAAACACAGAAAAGCTCTAAGATCTCTTTTCTATGAACTTCTGTATGTATGTTTACCTTTACAGTATGTACAAATAAGGGGTTAGCCCGTAACAGAATGGAGCTATATGGGCCAATTTGTAAATTTTCCGATCCAAAAATACCCATAATGAGTGTCATAGACACTGCAAGAAAGATGACATTTGGTCAATTGGCATATGAGATAATATAAAACCAGGGGTTGTGAATTTCAGTCTGCATGATTGAGTGCAACCTCCTCAAAATAACAGGAAATATTGGCAACAGATACAAACACATAAAATGATGGAAGGAAATGTGCATCAAAAACAGATTAAAAATTTTGACACTAAATCTAGAAACTGCTGATCATGCCTGCATCAATTTACTCTCTTCAAGTCTAAAGCTGTTCATTCATCATGCAAAAATTTAGTTCTGGCGAACCCAGTCTAAATAATTGCATCAACAAAAAAAAACGTATGCTTCTAGCAATGGAAATGCAAAGCAATTTTAGTTCTGGCAAATAATAGTGAGACATAATCCCCCTGTCCCTAAATACATTTCCCATTTGCTTTTCGAAAAGTCAATTTTAATTTGCCCATAATTTCTTGCTAGTACAATACTACAATTTGGGTGGGGAAAGAGGGGGGGGGGGGTCACGTAGGATCTTGTTAGATTTATCTCATGTATACAATCAAATTATCAACTTTTTATACTTTTATGAGTTTATCAATTGGTAATTAAGAAGACTAATGGTCAAATATGTGTCTTGAAAACTGTACAAAAAAGCAAACGGGAAATGAATTTAGGGACTGTAGAAGTAAGATAATGACAAGGGCATGCCATCTATGTACCAAAGGAGGGCAAAGGACAAAAAGGTATGCCATTGAACTATCAAACATTAAATACCAAAGCCTATTCTTGACTCCAACTATACAAAATCCTTTTCGGGGGGGGGGGGGGGGCCTCAAAACCTTGACAAAAGGTGGGTATACTCTCAAATTCCATTGATTTCTTTCTATCCAACAGCACCGCCAAATCACCCTTAAGAGCAACTTAAAATAGTCTATCAAAAAATCTTTTCCACCTGTCATACACTCATACCTCTCAAAACAAATGGAATCATAGCCCTCTTGATGAACCTACTTTGTATGTCTAGCAAGCAACGGCAATTTAATTATAGCTCTTACGTCCAAGTGAGCCTAATTCATATGGCTGACAAGCAAATGCAGTTTAGTTATACATCTTATGTCCAAGTGAGACTATCCATATGCCTGGAAAGCAAAGGCATCCCAGGGCCCAGGTCCACAAGCGGGGTCAATAAAGACTGATTATAGCTCATGGCTCTAGATACTTCTGATTGACAAAGATGCATCTCTTCTTTCTTTTTTAAGGCCTACTTTCCAAATAGAGAAAGAAACTCATCAAACTTAAATGTAATGTTTTTAACTCTTTTATCATGCTTCTTGAATTTTGCTATCATGACTTGCATGAATGAATACTTGCCAAAATCCTTCACTCTACAGAATCCTAGTTGGCCTGATTTAAAGTTTTGTAAAAGTCCTACACTCTCCTACTCTAGTTTGATACATGAAAACTATCTAATTCATGGCCTTAAAACAGGCTTCCTCGACTAGGCGACTAGCCCTTCAAATTTTTCAAGAACATATAGTCCTTGGCTAGTTTCTTATCTCATTTCTAATTGATATCTCATATTTTTTACCCTCTTCTAAACAAAATTAATAGTCAAAACCCAAATCAAGTAACTTTTCCGGGGATTACGAGCTAAATTCACATTGCTCAGCAATGCAGTGCCTCCAAAAATTATCAACAAGACAACAATCCAAAATCGCAATTGAAATTTAACAAATTACCCACAAAAACAACACAAGTAACAACATCAAACAAACCAACTAATTAAAAATTTTAACAACTAAAGGAATAAAGGAATTACCAAAGAACCAAAAAGTTAGAATAACGATAACGCAAGACAAAGTATCATCAGCAGGCGGGTCCTCCATCCCCGGCGACGACGACAACCGACGCTGCACAGGCCGGACACGATACGACATACTCGATTGCTGCCGAATAAGCTCCGGGGAAGACTCCACTTCTCTCTCCTCATCTGAAAAAACTTCCGGCAACCTCAGCGGAAAACCGGACGACGTCGCCGAGGAAGTCGACGGACCTTCGTCCGCCGACGGTAGCGGAGATAAAGAGCTCGAGGATGTTGCCGCCATTAAAGGGGTAAATTGTAAACCCTAGGAGAGAGAAAATTATAGAAGGAAAAGGGGGAGATTTAGGAGGAATTAAAAGAAGAAGACTTTTTGGCGTGTTGGTGGGAAGTTCTTCGGTGGTCTTCTGTTGAGATTGGGATGAGAAAAGGAGAGTGGTAGTTGATGTCAATGTCAACTAATAAGGCGAATTGGATAATTTATAAGATATTTTTAATTCTATTTTTATGGAATTATATTGATATTTTTTTGTAATTCAACTTGTCATTATTATGATTCAAGATTTATAATTGCTACCCAACTACTATTCATTTTATTTTATTTTTTTTAATATTTTTGGTTAGTAATAAAAATATATCTACACATATGTTGTTATAACTTATATGTTCAGGTTTTTTATGACAAAGATAACATATAAAGAAGTAAAGAAAATAATATAGAACTACAATAAATTACATTACGAAACAACCCATGAAAGATATTTGCGAAGAAACTTAATTCGAGTCGAGTTGTTGCACTTGAAGTCCATAATAGACACTCGACTAAACTTTGCACTCACTTGATTCACTTGCAACTTGTAGAAGATCTAGTTCAACCTACCAGCGTACTTGTTCTTCTAAATCGAAGACGAGAATGCACTATTGATGGCTAAATAGATGAACCGAAGGTTTGGCATTGTGTGCAAAGTGGAGAACTTGATTCTTGAACACTACCTACAAACCCCAAAGATTCCATTCCCCAAAAGGACTAACATAATTAGTACGGACAATCATCTGCTTCGAATAATATTGCACCACTTCAGCATTTGTGGACTGCAAAATGAGAGATGGTCGAAACTTTAGAATGGGTGTCATTTGTTGCTCCACATCATAGGTAGTCTTGAATGAAATTAGGGTAGAGTCATAGAGGTCATTGCTTCCTTATACTTGATAGTTCATATCTTTGGGGACTTCTATTTTGATAAGGTGACCATTTGCTCTGAATAAGAGTGTTGTTTCGAGTGTTTTTGGTCCCTCGGGAGAGTTACAATACGGAGTATGCATGCCTGACTTCTGTACCTGCAAAACCACGAAACTCCGGTTGGGTGTAGTTCCGCCTCCGATGATCAAGTTAGTATGATTACGGATGGGTAAACGTGCGGAAAGCAAATAGGTATTTCTCACTGATTCAAAGAGATTCCGCATTTAAGATTGCTCGGGTTTTGTGTATGTATTTATGAATGCCCAATAAATGAGGAGGATTCCTCTATTTATAGTGGGGGAGGCATGTTCCCTGATTAGGGTTTTGATGCCACGTGTCAGCATCCGATTGGATCCCGTTGGGCCTCTGGTGAGCTGCCACGTGTCATGATACTACTGGGCCACGTGGCATAGGGTATTTTTACCCTAAACATTTTCCCCTCACAGGTGTGACGTGGCGTAGCCACGTGTCACCTGTGATAGGTGTCAAGCACATGGGAGGCGACGATTGAGTTGCTTCCCGCCTCTCTCTCTTGGATTCGAATTTTGAAAAGTTGAGGCAGAAGGTGGCGATTCGCCTTCTGGTCTTGTCTATAAATAGAGACGTACCCCCTCTCTCCTCCTCACTTTACAAATTTTGCAAAAATTTCTTGAGAGCTCTGAGACCAGCTGCTGATTTGTGCAACCAGCTTCTTCATTCGAACGCATACGGATACCGGTTGAGTGCTTCTTCAATCAACTCACCCAGGTATCGTCTGACTTGATTTTCTTCTTAGTTTGAGTAGAACCACAGACGGTCTTACACCGTCTGGGACTCCATAAGCCCTTCTTTTCATGTTTTGCATTTGGTAGGCCCACAAACGGTTTGGACCGTCTGGGGTATCTTCAAATCATGGCCTTCAAAAATAGACCCTCAGACGGTAATAGACCGCCTGATATCTTCATACAATGGACTTCCGATAATATATTCCATAGGCCCACAGACGGTGATATACCGCCTGTGTCATTTATGAACAATTATCTTCTCAGGATTGCATTCAAAAGACCCACAGACGGTAACATGCCGTCTGAGGCATCTTCAGACCAGTAACATTTTGCATCCAATAGACCCTCACCCGGAAATATTCTGCCTGGGTCATCTTCCAACAATTGCTCATCATAACTTGCATCTCATAGCCCCTCAGCCAGTTAGTAACCGTCTGGGGTACTTTCAAACAAGGATCTCCAACTCTAGACCCACTGACGGTTTTGGACCGTCTGGGGCGTCTTCAGATAATTGTTTTTCAAAACTAGGCCCACAGACGGTTATGTACCGTCTGGGGTATCTTCAAGCTACTCTTCAAGACTTGGATCCTTCGCACCCTCAGCCGGGCTCATACCGTCTCGGGGATGCTCGAGCAATTGTCTTCATAGCTTGCTCATGATCTGTTCTTGCAACACCCTCAACCGGCTCTCATGCTGTCTGGGGGGTCTTTGAGCAATTCTCCTCAATTACCGCTTGAGGTATCCTTGGAGGTTTTCAATAACCATTCAATGTTCCGTCTGGGGCATTTCTGGACGATCTTCATTGATCCCGCATGGGGTATCTTTGAATAAAACTTTGTGATACCGTTTAGGGTATCTTTGAGCAAGCTTCCTTGATACCGCCTAGGGTATCTTTGGGTGAGATTTCTTCAAAATGCCTGACTTTTTGTCTTTGCGCTTCAGATTTTCAATCACAAACGGCCTGCTCCGCCTGTGGCATCTTCAAGCCACACTTTGGAAACTCGGTGCTCAAGTCTTCTACAACCGTCTTCATATATTCAAGGTATCGCCTTTGCCCCCTTGTAACCTCTTGAGTTTATCGGTTGTATAGGTTAGAGAATAATGGACTCTCCCAATACACACACGGCACGGCCTAGGGCAGTTGTCAACCGGTCACCGGATACGGCTGAATCTAGGACTGGGGATGCCGTCTGGGGGTGTATGGAACACCCTTACTTTTTTGCGAATCCGACCATCTCTGTTCTTGTGTAGGACAGAATGGCTCGGACAAGGAAAACGGCTGTTAACCCCGAGTACAAGTCAAACGATTCAGCCGGAACTCTGGTTGAAGATGTTCCCTTTGATCAACCAGGCGTTCCGAGTACGCCTGGTGATGATATTCTGGAAGAATCCGGGAGCTCAAGCGGTGAAGGAACTGACCAGGAGGCCGGATCAACAGAGTCTACCATGACACCGGATACCCCTCAAGATAATGAGGAGGCATACAACTGGCCATCAATAAACAATCCAATGGAGGCGCACATGAGCGCCCGGGATGTATTGACATTAAACGCAACACTCCCAGCATTTTTGGAAAAGCGCCCGGTTGGGGAGGATTGGGAGGTTGGCGTTCCGCCGGCTGATGCATCAGTAGTCTGGGAAGACGACCTTAAACATGCCGATAACTACTTCGGCTGCTATGAGGCGGCGTTCAAAGCCGGCCTCCGGTTCCCCCTACACAGATGTATCAAAGCCATTTTGAGAGGCTATGACTTGGGGGTCTGGCAGCTTACACCCAACTCCTGGGTCAACATTTTAGGGTATATTGCTGCCTGCGAGATGCAGGAGGTGACGCCTAGCTGGGAGGCGTTTGCCCACATGCACTACTTAAGCCGGGCACCGGGTGTCTGGGATGCGTGGTACACACTGACTACGCATCAGGAGTATATGATAACCTTGAAGAAGCCCTCCAAGTGGACTAGCTGGAGAAGCAAGTTCTACGACGTCTCTTCCCCATCTACGGCTGTTAATCACCGGATGCGCCGTTATAATAATAAACTGGTTCTGCTGGGAAAGAAATGCACCCTACCCAGGATACCGGCTGAGGCTTGGGATGCCATTATGGAACCGGGCTTATTTAAGAAAACCACCCAGCCCTTAGATGATGGGACACTTATTATTGTCCCCAAATTCTGGGTCCCTCATCCGGATTGGCTCAAGAACGAGGCATTTCTTTCCGCCTGCGGTCTCAGCACCTTTTGGGACAAACGTAGGTTTACTGCTTAACCGACATGTTGTGTCTCCTGTATAATGTTTGAATGCTTCTCACATTTTCCTTTGTTATCTTGCAGAAAAAGGATTCGAGATGACTCCTCCTGAAATGACACCGGCTAAGTCTGCAGCCAAAGTAAGGAAGGAGCAGTTGGAGGCAAAATGGGCCCAACTGGCGGCCAAGGTTGGCGGGGTAAATACCGGCTGATTTCTATACCACTTGTATATCTTGTAAACAATTTTGATATTAACTTTTTGATTTCTTATCTTTTGCAGATGGGGAGCCAGAATGTGCCTCGCTCCCTTAGACAAATGGTCAGGAGACCAGGGGAGGAACTTCCGCAGCCGGCCTCTCAAAGGCGGAGGACTTTAACCGGCCCTGCCCCGATCTCAGCCGGCGAGAGACCCACAACTGCAGGCAAAAGTCTGCAAGCCCCAAGTGGAAGCTCGGGTCCGGTTGGGGCAAGATCTAAGGAGCCTGAGGTTCCTTCTAACCGGGTGCCTGCTATTGCATCCGGCTCTAATGCGGCTGGGGGTGGTGGCACCCCGCAGCCTGTAACTCAAGGTATGGATTCCCCTTTTGACCCCCCCGGTCGCTTGGGCTAGTTCGAGTCAAGTCTCATACTTCTCAATCAGGAGAGCCATCCGGCGACCAGCAAAATATAGGGGCCGCCTATGCCCAACACTTAATCAATATCTCTCATGATGCAGATATCACTTCTTGCTTTCCTGATATGAAAAACTACGCCAGGAGGATGCTGAGGACCCTTACCCGGTCTGAGAGGGAGGAAGTGTCGGGTATCAACCAAGTCAATCTTGACCAGATTAACTCTCTGCTTACTGAGGTAAAAATACTGGTTGGGGTAATTTTTAGTTATTTTGTCAACAACCGGATGGGGTACTTTTGTGCAAAATTACTATTTGTTTATGCCTGGAACTAACTCTTTTTCCGGATGACCTTGCAGGCGTTGCTGAGGGTTGATGCCATGAAAACCCCCTTGCGGAAGAAGCAAGAGGAGGTAAGGGATGCCCAGAAACGGGCAGCCGAATTACTTGATGTATGTCAATACAACTCCATAATGCTTGAAGTCAAAACTAAAGCAAGGAGATGAAACAGGAGGAGCTCATCCGGGAGCTTACGGATGCTGCTGACAAGGCCAACAAAGCTGTAGAGGACCGCAAGCTCGAAATTGATCAGCTCAAAGCAGACATCAATACTTTGAAGGAGGCTGATAAGGAGAGGGCTGGTATAAAGGACGATGTCGCCTGGCTGGGGAATGAGCTGGAACAGGCAAAAGGTGAGCTGGTGAGAACAAAAAAAGAGCACCTGGACCAGCTGTCGGCTAAGCAAAACCGGCTGGTG